GTTGGGGCTGCATGATCTCTAAGCTCCCCTCCAACCCCTTAAATTCTATGATTTATTGTACTGGTAACAACTACAAGCCATAGCAGGGACTATGTTACATTAGAGTGTGTGAAATGAAGCACCAAAGTCATGATATCCTAAACAGATTTACCACAACTAGGTATAATACAGCAATATATCTTCTTGACTAGTGTCTGGAGTGTTGGATACAGACCGGCCTGAAGTGATTGGTGTAGTACTCTGCTTGCAGGAACTTTTGCAGGTCTCCAACATTACTCAGTGTTGCACTCATGCCAATGATTTGTGTGTTTTCTGTAAAACAGAAGTGGAGATGAATTTCTTGTCATGTTACTTCTGTTCAGTGTTCAACTCCTAAGACTGTTTAGTCAGCATCAGCTTTTCTTCAATCCCAAAGGAGCGGGTCTGAAGGGAAAACCTGCTCCTAAGGAAATGCTGACCAAGAGATAATACTCAGCTGTGAAACTGAGGTGTGAACAAGAAGGAGCATCTAATTGGAATGGCTAAGGAGCTCCTACAAAGAAATGAAAAGCATTTGACAATACTCAGGATTTCTCATCTCAGAGAAGGATCCAAAAGGCTTCAAAAGTCCCAGAGGGTCAACTCACCTTTCAGTGAGTCCACACTGTTCCCACACTGGGCCACTGCCACGAGGTTCAAAAGCAGCCAAGACATCACAAATGCAGAAAGCAAAACATGACTTCTCTAGAGATGCCACCACTACAACAGGTTAGGAACATGAACTGCAGCCATGACTTACTACTGGTGTAAAGGACTTTGGCCAGGGTAACTTCCAGGGTTGCTCCACGACTTCCCTCACCCAACATATGCAGCTGTGCACATGAGAGAGAAAGAAATGTTACTGAGTTAAAAGCAGTTCTTAAAGAAAAACACTTCAAATTATGCAGGTGGGGGTTGGTCTCTTCTCCCAGGCAACCAGCAGCAGGACAAGAGGGCACAGACTCAAGCTCTGCCAGGGGAGGGTTAGGTTGGAGATTAGGAAGAGATTTTTTACAGAGAGAGTGATCAGACATTGGAATGTGCTGCCCAGGGAGGTGGTGAACTCACCATCCCCGGAGGTTTTCAAGCTGAGACTGGATGTGGCACTTAGTGCCATGGTCTAGTGACCACGGTAGGGTTGGACTTGATGATCATGGAGATCTTTTCCAACCTGGTTGATTCTATGATTCTACACTCTCTCTCTCTCTATATATATAATCTATCTATCTATCTGTAAGACATGTTACTCCACCCCACAACCAACCCTAAGGGCACAACTCAGCCACACCACTAAAAAGCACCATAAGGAGCAATTCTCACAGTCAAATGTAACCTGCTAATTTTCTTTCAGTCCTTATTCATACCAGCCACCAAGTCTGGTGGTACCTTTAGGAGTTAAGTTCTGACACTCATAAAAGACATTCCATACAGTACAAATGACTGATTTTTTTTTTTTGTAGTCCATTAGAGATATCTAACTGACAAGTAGATACTAAGGAATTCACTACCAGCCACCAAACCAGTAGATCTCTCAATGCAGAATCTATAGTCCTGAAACAGCAACAAGTGCTTTAATTAAAGAAAAATCACTTTCAGTATTACAGGATTATCTGCCAATGCAAAAAAAAAAAAAATGCAGTTAAGAAGCAAAGCCAAGTATCCCAAGAACTGCTCCTTGTTTTAATTGTGCATTAGAAAAGTGCAATCTTGTAGCAATACCTCATCAACCACAACCAGCCCAAGGTCATGGATTCTTTCTGCTTCAATTAAGGAATTCACCAGACTATGTCCTTTTTCTATAGTAGCAATGTAAAGAGATTTTTTCATTCTCCTTTTGATTGGTGGAAATCTTCCTTTACTTCCTGCATATTCTTCAACCAGGAAACCCAATTCTATGCCAAAACTTGTCAAAGACCTAATCTGGAAAGGAAAAATCAATTAGAAAAGAAACTCTTGCTTGTTCTGGTGTTCAGAACTGCCTCAGGAACTCAAGGTACACATAACCAACCCACACCACAATCAGCTGCTGGAAGCAGTGCAAATATAGTAACAGGAGGAGGGGAAATTTGGGCTAGATACTAGGAAGAGACTCTGTCTCAGGTTGCCCAGGGAGGCTGTGGCTGCCCCAACCCTGGCAGTGTTCACAGCCAGGTTGGCTGAGCCTTGAGCAACCTGCTCTGGTGGGAGGTGTCCCTGCCCAGGGCAGGGGTTGGGGCTGCATGATCCATAAGGTCCATTCGAACCCCTAAAATTCTAAAATTCTATCTTATTGCAGCTGCCAAACTGAAGTGTGTCCACATATTATCAAGTTGGGTTAAATCTCTTCTCTAAAATGAATTTTTCCTTCATACCAAAGATGTTAGCTTTTATTTCATGACCATTTCTTTAGCCAGTTAGTTCTTAAGACTGCAGAACTACAGAAAACATCACAAAAAGGCATTATTTCCCACCTCAGCAGCCTTTGCTTTTTAGCTCAGCATCTTCACCTCATGACTTAGGTCTGTCCCATGCCAAAATGACTGACCCTCAAAGCAGCATTTAGGAGAGGTTACAAAAATCATGGAGCTTGCTGAGAGTAGTGTTAAAACCACCCAAGTGACAAAGTAACAAGACACAGCAGGAAAATCATGCATCAAACCAAGCAATATCACCCAGACCTTTTCTTGGACAATGGCAACATATGGCAGGATCATCAGGACATCCTTCTGCCTGCAGAGTAGTTCTTGGAGGATGATTATTTCAGCCACAAGTGTTTTTCCACCACTGGTTGGCAATGAGTAGATCAAGTTCTTTCTTTGCTGTAGAGACTCTAACATCAAGCAATCATGCTGCCACTCTGTAAAATCAAAAAGGAACTATTAGCAAGCCTAGAGGCATCTTAATAGGTCAAAATGCTTCAGAATATTTTAAATCTAGTGTTTTAGAGATTTATTGAATAAAACCTCTTCAAGTCTTCAGTGGTGAAGCCTTCTAAAGTATTCTACAAGTCATATAAACCTTTTCTACCCACCTAAAATACCAAAACAGCCACTGAATAAAATAAAACAGGGAGTTTCCAAAATGGTTTATGTTAAACAACACCTTAAATACTTGCACAATAGGTGAAACAACAGTGCACTGGCAGGTTTTCCCCCACAAACCACTAGTTACACTACCATAAAGTGTCTCAATCCCTCGGAGTTGTCCGAATAAATCCTTAACTTTGCTAGGTAATCCATAAAAAGGGCCTATATCAACAGAAGAAGATTCAATAGCTTTCCTAGCAACAAAAATCTCTTCAGATAAGACAGCTTCTTTAAGCTGTTTGGTCTTAGAGACCTGCTGAGTGTGAGCTTTGGCATTTCCAGTCATGGCACTTTTGAGGTGATCTTTAAGACTCTCAGTTTTAAGTGAAACACACTTGGAGTTCGAGGAAGAGTCAGTAGGTCTGTGCCTGTGCTCAGAAGCAGCATAGAAAGGTGATGAGCTCCTGATTTTGTCTAAGGAAGAAGTCCCACATGTCTTCCTCCCTCCTGGGACTGGAGGTGCTCCAGAACCAGAAAAAAGTTCCCCCGTTTTCTCAAAACACAAAAGCTGTGATGATGGCAAGTCATCTAAAACAGATTCAGCTGGTTCTCCATGGCAATCCAGCAGCTCCCCGCCCTGTATCTGGCAAACACCCTCTGAGGCATCTTTGAGGACATTTTCTCCAGCAGAGAATTCATCTTCTTGTTCCTGGTGAATTCCTGACTGATGATTCCCAAGTATGACTTCCTCAGCTTCCTCCACATCCAAATTTCTCTCCTGCAGGTACTTGTGTTCCAGATCATCCACTTGAGCCAGCAAAGAATCATTCCCATAAAAGCTATCATAGTCCCCAAACAAATCTTCTTCGCTGTCATTGCCACACTGGAAAAACACAAAGTAGGTGTTACTGATCTGAAGTAGCAGCACGGAAGGCAGAACTGGGTGGTGAGACAGTGGCCCAGGTTGCCCAGGGAGGCTGTGGCTGCCCCAACCCTGGCAGTGTTCACAGCCAGGTTGGCTGAGCCTTGAGCAACCTGCTCTGGTGGGAGGTGTCCCTGCCCAGGGCAGAGGTTGGGGCCGGATGGTCTATGATAACTTATATAGCATCACTTGTAGAGCACACACATCAGATCCAAGCCACTCAAGCCTTTCCTAACTTAACACTAAACTTTTTTTGCTGATGCTATGAATAAGGCCCAGCTTGAGTGCTAAAGGAATGCCTTGCCTCAGTGAAACCCAACCCACAAGCAGGTGTGATGCTGGGACAGCTAGTTGAGAGTGATGAACTTCTTAAAATGTAAATCAAATGACTCATAGAATCACAGAATTTCAGGAGTCGGAATGGACCTTAGAGATCA